AAACTAATCCTTAAACGGTATAATATTTTTTTTTTTTTCATTTAGACAAAACCTGAAGCAAACCAACCTGAAAAAAAAAGGCTGTTTTTAACAACTGAATTTGGATGGCGAGTTGTCTAAATTCAGAATTAGATATATCAAAACCCATCCATCATTTCTAGTTATCTTTTTCCATTCAGAAATAATTATCTTTTATTTCTATTAGAGAGTCATTTGAACTTAAAATGTGGATAAACATTTGGTAGAATCAAACTCCAAATATTTGGTCATAAAGAATATCATTATACCATGTCATGAACCAACTCTACTTAAATAAAGGTACATGATTTCATTATATATTTATATTATATCTAAGATACATTTTGTGTGTTAATATTCTGCTTTGTTTTTGCATTGAAGTGGGGCTTAGCCAGAAATGGAGAGTAGGAGTTGAGAGTTACACCTTGTTCTCATAAATTACTATGTTTCAATATTTCCCTTCCCCATATGCATTTGTTCAACTCTAGGCCTTTCAAATAGCTCCTTCGATATTTCAGACCAACGAAACTAATCCTTGGGGGAATTCATTGGGAAAATAAACCAGTGTCACTGTATATTTTGTTTCTTAAGTATAGATTTATACTTGTTCATAGTTTTGTTACCGCGCACATGTAGTATCAGAAATAATTTCTTAAAATAAGGTGAAATATAATTCATGTTCCTATACTTAGAGAAAAGTACTTTTCGTGAATCTTCACTCAATTATATTCAGAAATTTTTTTCACTCTATAGTAGACACACACTCCTAATGGTGAAGGGCCTCACATGTATGATGTATCTGAAGAGGGAAGATCTTAATCATACCGGAGCTCACAAAATTAACAACACTGTACGTTGCCAAATCTTTGCTTGCATTTTTGTTGCCACTGCTAATATATGTGCTAGATTTGGTTTAGATTCCATTATTTATATGGGTGCTCAAGATATGGAAAGGCAGGCGCTGAATGTTTTCAGAGTGCTTCTTCTTGGTGATGAGGTATATAAATTATGGGTTTAGTGTGTCGTTTTAATGCCGTTTTAGCGGTTATAACTATATATGTACTTCGGAGAATAGATAGTAATTAAAGTTGTATTTTTTTCACTTTACATATTAACAGACAGCTCTTGAAAAGAGAGAAAAAAGAAATTTTTTAATATTAATTATAACTATTTACTCCCCAGAATATATAGTTACAAGTTATAACGGTTAAAAGAACACAACCTTTTTTCCATAAATTATTATTGTTATTCCGTTTAGTTAGGCTGATATATCCCATGCCTAGTTAATTAGTGGGAAAGACACCTTTCTCAAAAAAAAATCTTCTTTTGTATAAAAGGTTAATGCTTTTAACTATATATATACCGTTTCTCTTGAGATTGTCTCCTTAAATAAAAAATACTAAGTTTTGATTGATTTCTATATGTAATCTCTTCTCATGGATTTGCACTTTTTCTTTTTGCATAGAAGTGACTTCAAATCTGTTTGTTTTATTCTATAATTAAAACATTAAATACGTAGATGTCTTACATGATTGGATTCATCTACTAAGCTATTTTATCTCATGACATTGTACGAAGATTATACATGGAAGTTTATGGCATGTTAAACTTTCGAAAATAGGGTATCATTTGTACTACATACAAAATGTTCAAACATTTTGGTTTAAAAGTTTTCTGATCCTTTTTCACAAAAAAAAAAAAAAAAGTTTTCTGATCCAGTGGTTGTGCTTGATACATGCCATTTCTGGACAGTGATTTTCTGTTCTGTGCATGAATGCATGATGCTAAATGACATCGCGTAAAAGTAGAGAATTGCAAGATTTGGGATAGAACATGATAGTGACATAATCCTATATCTCATTCGCATGACTGTAGTTGCCTACAAACTATGAAGCCAGAATTTTATGGGGAAAATTCTTAAATTTTATGGCTGTCTGAATTCAAAATCACTTATGGGAAAGTTCAATATATAATTATTCTCAAGCTACATGAATAAAGCAGATATAAGAGTGATCCTTCCTAATGGAACTTTATCTTAATTGCTGTGCCTTAAGACACTTGGACGCAGTGGCGGAGTCAGACAAAAAAATTAGATGGGGCCAAAAGATTCAGCTAGTAAAATCAGGTGATGCTAAAGTTATATTATTTTTTAAAATTCAACTAATATCAAAGTTATATCAATTTTTTAAAAAAAAAATCTATACCATTTTAAAAGAGTAAGTGGTGCCTTGTAGTAGGTGCCAAGGCACCACTTACCTTCCAAGTGGCTCCGCCACTACTTGGACGCTCAAACTGCTATGTTGCTAATTAATCAAGTACAGGGCAAGAGCATCTTCTGATATAATCTTAGTTTTACTCTATACTGCTGCTATTTACAAAATCTTTTTTTACAAATTGCTTCCGATATAGTCATATTTGTAATTTGTGCTCAATTTATTAAGTAAAATTTTATGCAACATTATTCGTTGAACAATTCTGAAATTTGAAAACCATTTTTGGTACACAGTTTTATATTACCTAATGAAGCACAAGTTTCAGGTTAACAACATGAATTGTTTGGTTAACAGATTGATAATCAATTACTACTTGATAATCAATTATTAATCTGTCAACTAAATACTTTATGTTAACCATAAACTTGTACATCATTAAGCTGTATAAAAATGATGTAAAAAATATAGTTCGCAAAAGTCACTTTCGTTTCTTAAAACAAGACTCCTCTGCTCAGTCTTTCTCTCTCTTTCTCTGTTTTTGGGGTCACTTTCAGTGGGTTTATTTTCATGCTTGGTGAGACAAATTTATTTGAACTTATTGTATAAGTCAGACAATATATTATTAAGATGAACAATCTACGTTCAAATCATAATACGATTTCCAGTGTAAAAAGTAAACAAGATAATTTATATCTTCCGCGAATAAATATATTTTAACTCAATGTTGCAGTACTTATCTTAAATATGTTGTAGTTATTAAACTCAACTCATGATTTTCCTTTAGTGTGTAGAGCATTTAACTTGTGCAAGTCCTCGTAAGGGTACGAGGGATCAGTGACGGAGTCAACAAAACCTTACGACAATAAACTTATTGGACACAATTTTCTGACTGAAAATCATTTTGCTTTTTGTTGACTATACTTTTATAAAAAGTTTGTTCTTATTAGTCCTCTTTTTTTTTTGTCATTTTCCTTTCCTTTTTCTGTATTTGTCTTGTAAAGAACCTTGGAATACACCACCTCAAAAGCTAGCTTAAAGGGTGGGAGTGCCCAAGAACTTATAAACTCAACATTAGTTGCACATACGACGGCGAGGCTTCGGATACCATGTAAAGAACCTTGGGATACACCACCCTAAAAGCTAGCTCAAAGGGTGGGAGTGCCCAAGACCTTATGAACTCCACATTATTTGCACATACAACCAATGTGGGACTATATATCTCAACAGTCCTAATGATTTTAAATATTTTTTGGGAGTGCCATCAATATGATGATGATGATCCATTATATATTGCAAAATTGGTTGGAGACTAGAGTACTTCTGGCTTCTAACTTTAAAAACCTTATCCAAAATATTCTTTTTGGGACCCCAGTAGCCTCTAAAACATCATCCACAACCACAACAGCCACAACATCTCTTGTATTTTAGTTGCATTTAGCTCACAGCTTCTATTATCCCTTAGAATGGCTTAGGCCTATCTAATTTCCCATTACTGCTTCCACCTTCTGCAATCTTGATTTCTTGGAAAACGCTTGACATACTCTCAAAGAACAGTTTGTATGATATTAAATTCAAGATTCAAAGTGCATGAACTCAAGTGCAATTGCAAGTGAGTTGGAAGCTGAAGTTTGAATACGGAAACTCGTTGCAGGACCTTCCCCTTGATTATCAATTGCAGAACAGCTACTACTTCACCATGAAACTGGTTCGGCTCTCTCCTTTCCCTCTCCAACATTTTTATTCTCCTTTTTATACCTTAGGAAAAATTCTAATCAAAGTACATGGTCAACATGTATAATTGCTTTTACGTTGGCTAAAACATGATAGTCACTTGGATATGAAATTTTTATACTTTTGTTGTGATCTGCACTGAAATTTGTTAGAGAAATAATCTAATATTATTTATTTATTTTTTGGTGATCTATCTAAATTAATTCTACTTAATGGTTTAGGTTTTTAGAATAGTTATTTAATTAATGACATGATATCAAATCTTTATGATTGAGTGATCTAAAATTTGGTCATTGACACCCTCATCCTTTTAATAAAAATTTAAATTTTAACACAGTATAATATACATTATTCACGCTTTAAACCTAAACAACTTTTGCTTGAGATTAATATAAAATCATTCATAAAACTTTATGTAAAACCATAACCGTTAATTTCTGATAAAATCGTTAATATACCAACTTTTCATACTCGTTTGATTTCAGTGTAAGATCTTACGAATTTTACCATATTGGCCCCAAACTCTGATTAACCCATCATAAAGCTTATTGTGTCACAGTACTAATCCGTATTTTGTCCTTAACATGCCTTAAAAACCTTATCACTAATAAGCCCAGAACCTCATGATCAAGCACCATGAGCTATATAGTTGCTCAATGTTAGACAAATAATTCAAAAAACAAAAACTAGGAGACTTAACCTCACCTCCGAAATTTCTTATTTTTCATTCTCCAAAAAATTGACTGAAATCCAATTATCATTGGATAGCCTAGAGAGAGATTGACAAGTGCATGAATTAAGTATGCATAAGTATCACAACTCAATAAAACATGCACAATGGTGGCACATCCTGTTGAAAAGAGACTAGTAGTAGCTTTCCCATTGGACAATCCCACATGGCCACATCACAAGGGGCAGTCAATGGTCTGAGGCCAAAATGCGCCTACATCCAATAAGCAAAGGCTAATTTAAAGGAAGAATGCTCTGAAATATTAAATTAAATCTCAAGCTGCATCTTCACTAGTGTTAATCATAAAGACCATCAAATAGATCATCACACTCGGATTTAAGAAATCCCTTATAATATGCAGTATCTTAAAACTTAATGATAATTCAGAAATAGAAAAACATGAAGAAAAAAGAAGAAGTAATCATCTGTAGAATGATAATGTTTCTCAGCAGTACCATTATTATTAATTATTATATACAAATAGACAAACAACCGGATCATCTAGTCTTTGCCAAAATCCAGCTGCCACAGTTCAAAATCAACTTCCTTATCAGAGGCTGAGTATGACCAAAAGAAATTAAAACAAGTCCCCGGAGGATTCTTAAATCTTAACTCTTCGACCCTACTGCTTTGCCTGCAAAAATGAGTAGAATGAAAAATCAGAATAACTGTACCTGCCAATAGAAATTGTTATTTCCAAAAGAAAACAACATAAATTGTCTTAAACAATCCACATATTGGATATTTTACTGTTTCTTATCACCAATCTTTTTCTCCATTTTCCGAGGCCCCACACAGCAACTACATTTAAAAAAATACAAAAACGGATGTGAGACTATCAGAAGCCTCACTGCTAAGGTGTGAACCAACGCATATTCTCAAGTCATTCGGTCCAGTCAACTTTTGAAGCTATGGTATGCTAATTCATGTTGAAAAAGACTTGGAAAAGGAATAAAGACAATGGTGGATTCAAACCAACAGCAGTTAGGTGGCAATTCAAAGTGCAGCTACTAATTAAACATCTGATCACCTAACTTTCGAATAGCACCATTAGATGGGAAAGAAAGACATGTTCAGGTACATTGAGACCCAACTCTAACCTATGAGCCTCAAATTTTACCTTCACGTATATTTACAAAATCAAATTCCTAGGGGCTTTAGCACTATGACAAAACAACAATGCTTTCATCAAACAATGTAATTTGGTAGTAGGTTCATCCACCTTGAACTCCAGTCCACCTAATCATCATATATCTGACAATACTAGATGTTGTCCCTATGGTGAGCCCCTGAAACCACCCTGATACAACCAATGCAAAGGATCCTCCAACCAATAATAGGTGAGAATATGAGCATTTTATGTTTCATTTCTCTTTTATTAGAGCAAAATATGGCCAAAGGGCATAATAGATGTCAACAACAACATCAATATCACTACTAAAAAAAACAAATTATCTAGAAAATACCTGTGAATACAAGAAGGTTCCAAGGATGGCAATAGCAGCTCCAAGAGCATTGACAGGCTGAACAGGTGTATGGAAGATAATGATTGAAGAAACTATAACAGATATACGCTTCATGGTGTTTCCAATGCTAAATGTCAAGGGAGAGATCTCATCCAGAGACATGTATGACACTTGATTGTAAAGATGATAAAATACGCTCTGAGCTGCCACCCACCTGTTGTGAACAATAAGCAGCCACATAATCATAAGATGGAGGAGTGCAGAAGCTTTCAGAACCAAAAGAGGATGGATAAGAACAGTAGATAACTCAAAATCAAAACAAAAAACTCAGGTTTATTTTCTGTTACAAATTCATGCACATTAATCAAGTCTTATCAACTTCACAGTTAGCTCTGCATATTAAAATCAGGTACTTGATCACATGTCCATTGCTCTTCCACAAAATTAATTGGGCTCTAATTTAAATAAGACATGATCATCAATTTGAGATAGAAAATTATCCATCAGTCCAGCAACTTAGAAGTTGACCATTGACATAAATTCTAGCAAGGAAAAAATGTGCTCATATATTACATACGTACAACTTCGGAAGTTAGTTCATACTATCTCATATTATTAAAGGAAGAAATTAATTAAGAGAGACTAAGTTAATTTATAAATATACCAAGCCAGACACATAACTTCTAGGGCTGGATCTCCCAAAATAATCAGAGAGATGATAACTTCGACTGTCACTTCATTTATAAGAATCCCGAACCAATCAAGAAGATCCCAAACATCTCTAGAAAACATTTGACTAGGTTAAACAGAAAGATGATGACAAAACTAGGGGGAATACTCCAGTACCCATCTTTTTTTCCAGGATAGTAAATTTTCAAACATTTATTGGTTGTTGGTTATATTTAATAGAGTTTCAACCTATTTACTATCAAATCAACAAAAAAAAAAAAAAAAACATTTAACAACTCATATTGGGTACAGTACCAATGAGGATACCATACCAACTCCTTAAAACTAGATATCTTCAATGATTGCCAACAAGTTTTAGGCCATCTTTGGCATGATGGTCAGGAACACAGCAGTTGTCTCAGGCGCAGAACACTAAGTTTCCTTTTAGTATGAAATTTTCAAGATATCATCTTATGTCTAGTATGGAAATAGAGACACAAACAGATTAAGATGATTACAACTGTGATAACAAACACAATATGGATAACATCACATTGAACAGTCATCTTGTAATTACCATATAAATTGGGGTCCAATTTGAGAAAGGGCTGTTTGCCATCCAGCTGCCCACATCTGTGGTCCCTCCACAGCAATTGCAAACGGTGTGAGAATCAACAGGGACATAATAGATAAACAAGCATAGTAATTCATTCCACTGACAGACTTCCCCTTCATTCCCTTTTTTGAAAAGATATTACGGAATACAAATGCCAAATTTGATATCATAGCCCCCATAAAACCTGGAAAAAAAAAATAAAGCAGTTATGAAATCAAAGTCAGAAGGGTGTAAAGGACTCCTTGCAGAAAAAATGAAAAATTCTGAGAAATACACTCAATCACAACCTCCTCTAATGGCATATTCACACAAGTATATATAACAGTAAACCATCCTTTCTGTGGGTGGTTAAACACAAGCATTAATAGACCCCCCCAAAAAATATTGCAGTAGTATACATTTTGCTTTGCTGAAAAGAGGGAGATTGTGATATTGCCTTAACCCAATAACTCAGCATCAAATTCTTGTCACTCAGGTAAAATTCAAAGTTCAAGTTAGTTTATTATCCTATCTCCAACTTTTTACTGTGCTCAACAACAAAATAAAAAAGAAACAGAATGCACATAGCAAAACGTTCTTCATTAGAGAAGTAACTTATTTACCAATCATATTGAAATTGAGCTCAGTCACAGCAGCAAGTGCACATCCTCCGATGATTGGAATTAAAGACAGATAGACTGGCACTGGGAAGGTCTCACCCAAAATAAGTCGGGAAACCAGTACACTGAAAGCAGGCTCGCCACTCTTGATAATATGGGTGAATGACACTGCAACTTTTGACATGCTAACAGTTGCTGCTACATGTCCTATTGTATGTGCAACAGCAACCTGAAGGAAAAACAACAAGCAATCAGGAACCTATCCATTTATAAAGAAAAAATAAATAAATAAATCAAGGGAAAAGCCCAAACTATTTAAGACATCTTTTGAATCCAGGTAAGGTGAATTGCTCTTTCAAAACCTAAAATTTTCATCTACATGGTTTAAATGAATTCAATTTTCTCATTTTTTCCTGAAATCATCAAACTTTCCTGAAGTCAAACTACATAGATATCCAGAGATGGGACCAAAATTATTTTAAAAAATTTAATTTTTCTCAGAACACATAACACATATGAACAAACAAAAACTTGCTTTCACTTTCTCCATCAATATTTTTCTCAGGAAACAAACAAAAATCCATTCACTTACAGGGAACAAAGTCTTCCAAAACTCAAGATCAGTCTTAGGTGCCTCAGCTATCCTGGTGGCCCAGGAGATCAACATCATAAGAGACCCACATGCAAGCGAGAGAGTTGAAGTAAGCCAAGGGTAGGGGTATGCATTCAGAACCTTCTTGTTATAAATATTGAACACCACATTCAGAGCCCACCAGGTTGCAAAGTATATCCCAATTTTCACCTTCTTAGCAGCCTCTGATGGAGTACCAGCTCCTTCAACCTCTGATCTATCTGCCTCATACGCTCCACATGTTACCAAATTACTCCTTTCACCTCTCACTGACCCACTAAAACTCCCAACACCAACAGCAGAAAGGTGCAGTGGCTTTTGCACTGAAACCAGAGATCTCTGAAATTTTTCTCTCGGGAGGGAAGGTAAAACAAGGGAACATGACTGAACTGGGTTTGAACCCTTTTTCCGAAAAACAACATCAGAACCTCTGATAGATATACCAGGTTGTTTCACCATGCAAATCATTGTGATACAAAATTAAAAACAAAAATCTAAACTTTCCGTCCAAAACCTTAATGGGTTGCTAAATAATTGAAGGGGAGGGAAGTAAAAAGAAAAAGAGATCCCGTGTGGGTTTGTGAGTGTCAGTGTCCGAGCCGTGAAACGAACTCTCACGGACTGAACACTATTTATGTTATACAAGAATGTCTCTATGATCTGGCTTTTATCTGATGCCCCTCTGAGATCTTGAAAGGTTAATGTCAATCCAAATTACTGCAAAACCATTAAAAAAATTAAAAAATTAACTAGGAACTTTTTTTAATTGGAAAAGATCAAGCATTAATAATGGTGAAAAATGAGTAAACTTTAAGGAATGATACCTTAAAATATTATTAGAAAAAGGAGCATGTTTTGGTCAAACGCTGGAGGAGAATTGCAGGTCTGTTTGACTGTGTTATAGTTTTTTTTTTTTCTTAAAATTATTTTGTAAAATAGCTATGAAAACAGTTATTTTTTATATTTTTTTCTTTTTGAAAGTTAAAAATTAAAACAGAAAACAAAAACAACAGATATGTTCTCTAAATTTGATTTTAAAAACAAAAAAATAGTTATAATTTTTAAAATATTTTTGGGAAGGATATTGTGACAACTAAGTTGTGTTACTACAAGTGACTACCAATCAATCTTACCGTTAGATCGATTATATTGATCCAACGGTTATATTTATTTTCATCTTTGTATGGTCATGATTCTCCAAATTTAATATTTTATATTATTTTCACCTTTGTATGGTTATGATTTCCCATATTTAATGCTTTCACTTTAAATATGAGGAATCATGACCATACAAAGATGAAAATAAATATAACCGTTGGATCAACATAATCGATGTAACGGTAAAATTTATTGGTAGTCACTTGGTAGTAACAAAACTTAGTTGTCACAATATCCTTCTCCAATATTTTTTACAAAACATATTAACCAAACGATTTTTTTTGTTTTTTTTTTTTTAAAAAACAAAAATTATTTTGCAAAACAGAAATCAAACAGAGGCGCAGTTTCGGAATTTTTTCAAATCGTTAAATTTTGAGGTTTGGTGGGAGAGGCGTGATGATGAAGGGAATTGGTGGCTTCGTAGCGGGTGTCCTAGAGGGGGTAACAAATAAATGCAAGCTGTTTTTTTTATTTTTAATAAATGCAAGCTAGTTTTTTTTATTTTTAATAAATGCACTCGTAGTTATATAATTGTTAAAGTTTCTCATAAAGAGGGGGTTTCTTTTGACTTTTGAGTGTGGGTTCGCATCGAAGTCACCAACATGACAACATGGCATGTGCTTTCATCGGGTTGTTGAATATGTTTGGTAGAAGACAAAAAAAAAAAAAAAATTGTCAGGAAAATATAATTATTTCTTGGAAAAATGGTAGGAAAGGCTAAAAAATTAAAAAAAAAATTGTTTCGTAAATTAAATTATTATTAGAAAAATTTTGGTGTAAAATTGCTATAAGTTTAAATTTGATGGGAAAATCAAAATATCACCATCAAAGTGGTATTTCCAAATGGGTATTTTCTTTTATTTTTACATTATAAAAAATTTCAAACTTTTTTTCCTAAAAAAATTTATCTACTCCATATCAAACATGATCATTTGTAAATTTCATCTATCATTTTTTTAACATTCTCAAAAAAATTCACCTACCAAATATCCCCTAAAAGAGTTTTTACCTCCTTTAATTTCTCTATTCGGTATCCAATTCGCGGTAAACATGGAGCCTAGCAGGTTTTAGTCCTGCACATCCTCCCCCACGAAATCATGTGTTTTTTTTTGGCGAGTGTTGCAGCCCCTTAATTTTAGAGAACTCTCACGGACGTACCAAGTGGCACGATTTTAACTTTTCACTCGTTTCTCGTTCATTTATTAAAGGGTTTTATTAATCTCCTTCCACATAAGATAGTTATCTTATGTGGTAGAGAGAAAATGGGTGGGTCCCACCATTACAAGAAAAAAGAAAAAGAAGAAAAAAGTGGGGTGCGAAAATCAAAGTGAGAGAAAATGAGATAAGTTACCTTATGTAAAAGGAGAGTAATATTTCCCTTTATTAAAATACTAAATACTGTCAATTATCCATTATACAATAAAAATTATAAAACTACTATTTTTACTGTTATAATTTTTTGCAGTAAAAATATGTTAATATAATTAATTAGTATGTTGATTTAAAAAATATGTTATAATTTAAAGAAATTATAACAACAATTCACTAATTCGTTAATTTAAAAGAAACTCTAAATATTAATTAACATATTTTTACTTCAACTCATTAACCATTATACAGTAAAAAATTGTTGCAGTAAAAATATCACTATTTTATACTAATATTTTTGTAATTTTGTTGCAGTAAAGATAGTAATAAATGGGGAATAATTACTAAAAATTACTATTTTTACAAAATTACTAGGTGGAGAAATACTAAATACTACTCATTAATCACTCAACATCAGCATCAACATCAACAACACATTCATCCTAAACTAATTAGGATCGGTGGTAGATGAACTCAAATGAAAAGTACGAAAGAATAAAAAAAATAATAATAATAACATATAAATATAAAAATAAAGGGGTGTAAAAAAATAAAAAATAAAAAAAATTGGGGAAGGGGAAAAGAAGAAGAGGACGGAAATGAAGAGGAAAATGACTAAAAATAGACTATCTAGAACATAGGAATAAGAACGGGTCTAACCATCCACCATACTAATAGTTTTTTTCTATTCCGTCCTAAGGCACATCGTCTGACAATCTATATCTCATTCAATTAAGTATTGTTTTACTATATTCCCCCAAGTAAGTTTCGGTCTACTTCTACCATTTTTTATATCGAGCTCTTGGTGACAAATTTTTGTTATTACAGGAGCATCCAGGGGCTTCTCATTACGTGCCCAAACCACCTCAATCTATATTCTCACATCGTTTCAGCCACCGGTAGTACTCATACCTTATATCGAATAGCTTCATTTCTTATCTTATCCATTATCGTATAAGCACACATCCACCTTAACATCCTCATCTCTGCTACTCCTATTTTATGTTTATGTTACCTACGTGCTGGCCAACATTAAGCTCCATTTAACATTACAGGTCTTATTGCTATTCTATAGAATTTTTCTTTTAGCTTAAGAGAAATTTTGCAGTCACACAAAACCCAAAAATATTATGCAATTTCATTCACCCTGCTCTGATTCTATGATTTTCATCCTCAACAATCTCTCTGCTTTTTTGCAGAATGGATCTCAGGTATCTAAAACATCTTTCTTAGGTACCTCTTAACCAGGTAGATGCACGGGATCTTAGTCTACATCTCTTACTTGAGAGAAATCACACTTTAACGTAAATCCTTTAGACTCCAACGTGCTTATCAACAATCCAAGTTTTCAATTAACACTGTCTTTGGTCTCATCAATAAACACAATATCATTTGCAAAAAACATACACTGTGGCACTTCCTCTTGGATATCTTTTGTTAGTTCATCCATAACCAAGGCAAAGAGATAAGAACTTAAAGTCGAACCTTGGTGTACATCTACTGAGATAGGAAAATAACTTGATGTTTCATTACATGTTTTCCCACATGTAGTAGCCCCACCATGCATATCCATAATTGACTTTGCATACTTTGATGGTACTTTTTTGTTCTCAAGAATCCACCATAAAATTTTTCTTGGGACCCTGTCGTATGCTTTCTCAAGATCTATGAACACCATACGTAAGTTTTTCTTCTTTTCTCGATATCTTTATATTAATTGTCGCATCAAGAAGATGGCTATTATTACTATACAAAATTACTATTTAGTGAATAGTAATTATTCTCCGTTTATTACTATTATTATTGCAACAAAATTATTCCCCATTTATTATTATTTTTACAACAACAAAATTCCAAATTTTTTACTATAAAATAGCGATATTTTTACTATAACAAATTTTTTACTGTATAATAATGAATTTGTTGCATTTGATTAAAATTTAGAGTTTTTTTTTGGCAAGCAATTAGTGAATTATTGTTATAATTTTTTTAAATTACAACATTTTTTTAAATGTACATATTAATTATATTAACATATATTTATTGCAACAAGATTATTACATTAAAAATAGTAATTTTGCAGTAATTTTGTAATTTTATTGTATAATGGTTAATCAATAGTATTTAGTATTTCAATGAATGAACGAGAACGATGAATGAGTGAAAGGCTAAAATGGTGCCACCTGACATGTTCATATGAGTTCCCTGAGGAGCCTCGGCACTCACCTAAAAAAAACACATGGTTCAAGGGGTGCGTGACTCAAACCTTCTAGACCAAATGATCTCATTGATAAATATGAATACTAGATAAGAAAATTGAAGGAGTAAAAACCCTTGTTTGGTCAAAGAGTAATTTTCATCGTTTGCATTATAAAGCAGGAGTTACATTTTCCTATTTTTTAAATATTTGATCTCCCTATTATTAATATGTGTAATAGGGTCATAGGGTGATCTCGTGTGATAAGGTGTATTTTTTTTTGACACTATGCATTTAGAGTAAATTTTCATTTTTATTACGCATACTATTTTATTAAAATTAAAAATGTAAAAATATAACATATAAGATATATATATATATATATATATATATATATATATATGAAAAAATATTTATCCTTTTAAAGAACATAGAGTTATATTATTTTAAGTAAGAGAAAGACAAAAATTAGTATTTTTTATTTAAAATTTAAATTATAGAAAATAACTCAGTTTCTCTTCCATGATTTTCATTGTTTGTATCGTTTTCACACATTAAAATAAAACAATTTTATGTATACATCTATCCATCTTTATGTATATAATTTTATGTATACATTTTCCTTTAAAATAAAAATTTCTAGAATACTGACGTAGCACTCAATTTTCTATACATCTATCCAATAAAAATCATACGCAAAACATTAATGCTGACAAGTAAGAGAGAGAAATATTAATTAAAATACACATGTTTGATTCTGAATTGCAGATGTACATACACTTGTACTAAAAATGAGCTTCTTTAAAAGGACATACACCAAAATCATATATATATATATATATATATATATATATATATATATATATATATATTAGCTCTTTGAGAGGAAGGATATTGAAAT